TAACCTAGTACAAGTATTTGGATGGAAATGCTGCTTGTGTGTTATCCAACCTTAACGAACTTTTGAAAACAGTCACAAATTGCATGGCTTTTAATTCGATTTTCTTTTTTGTATGTGTTTAATACCAGTCACACCGATACATATGTTTAGTGAAAGCAACTGTCGTATTCCTGACTTGGTACCGGCATTTCTTTATGTAGAAAACGGTGGGGAAAAATTGGTTTTATAGCTAGGTTAACCTATCAAATGTATGACAGTCGCATACATTTCCATTATATTGACAACGTTGTGTGAGCACAACAATCACACATAATAGGTAATTATGTCAAACATTGAGATACAGCAGTCAACATTGTGTTTCAAGCTTAATCACTACACAAAGGTATTTGCGTTCGTTCATATAGTGTTGCTTTTAAGAATGTGTATGCAAAACGTATTACAGAAATTTCCATGCACATTAGTTAATTTCTAAAGTTAAACTGGATCTATTTTAGCAGAGTTGTGGTCAATGATTGTAATGGCCAGTCGATTGAGATATATATATATACATAGGTGGCTTATGCTATTTAGAATTGTTTCCAAATGTCGAAATTAGTTGGGTTTTTTTTAAAGAAGAGGATGAAATTTAATGAATAATAAAGATACTGGTTGTTTTATTCTAAATTTACAATTTCTTAAAATGTTAAAGCACGGTAAAGACATGTATTCTGTTACAATTCTTACATTTTTTGAAATTTATTTGTGTTTTTATTTCAAGAAAAATATGAATTTTTTGTATAGTATGCTATTTAAGATTGTTTCAAGGTGTCAAATTTTGTTTTGTTTTGTCTTTTATATAAAGGCGTGGATAACATTTAATGTTGGCAAACTTATTTTTTGTAGAATATCACATCTGTTTTAAAATGTCTTCTTATGCTTGTATGTTTTTTAAATGATTCACATGGGTGCAACTCAAAAACATAATGTGTCGCATGTTGCTAATATATAATTTCAAAGTGATCGAAGGTACCACAAACTTTAAGTAAGTGGTATAAACTACCCGTTTTTGTTACAAATCCGTAACTTTGAAAATCGTCTTTGTATGTTAGGATTTAAAATTGATATACAGGTATAATATGCTATTACAAATTTTTACTCCTGTTCAAATATAGAATAAAAAATAAGTGTTTGATAGAGAAAAAAATCGCAGATTTTGAGAAACGTCTTTTGTGTTTGGGTGTATAAAAAATGTATATAACAGTAATGCATATTTTAATGTTTTTCTTGTCGTAAACACTTCGAAGGGTGTCATGATAGATCAAACAAAAGACCAACCGTAGGGAGCACATCCACTGTAAAGCCGCACCATGGTCTTGAACCACGCTGAGACATTGATTCCCACTCTTCAAATCAAATGCCAAACTTAAAATAAGGGCCCAGCTACGACACTCAATTTGATAAGGGTTTATCAAAAGTATTTATTCTTGTAAAACAATCACGATTTCGCACGAAGACTGCACAACATCGTAATGTACTTGGACCCATGGACATACATAGGTCATAGTTTGATTTGAATACGATTATCTGTTTCAAATATTATGAATTAAGGAAGTATACTAGTCTAATAAACGGAGAAACAGATTGTTTATGCCTAAACAATTAATCTTAAAGCGTACATAATATGGAAAACTGTACAGTAAAATTTCAATTTAACAAATCAATTAATTTTTTTTTAAAACAACAGTAGCTAACATTTTAACCAGGTTATTTTTTTATGGCTTAAAGCACATTCAATTGAAACTTGGTATCGTCCGGGTTGGTTCGTCAAAAGACAGACGTGCCGTTCTAAAAAAAGAAATAACTAGGTATATACATATAGGTATAAATACATTCAAATGTGTATCCTGTTGTCCAAAGTGTGATTAAAATAAACAGATGATAAACTTTGAGACAAATCCTTTTGTTTTGCATTTAATGAAAATCTAAAGTTATATAAAACAAAATTATCTAAAAATTTACAAAAAAAATATAAACAAGTTTAAATTTAAAACAACGTTCAAACCTATGATTACGTTGGATAAAAACCGCAATTTGTATACGTGTGCACGCAAAACAAATTTCTTGGTAGAGTGGTCTAAATACAGCACAAACAACATTTTCCAAAAGACCAAAAAAGTGAAAAAAAGTACATTTTAACAAAACGCATTTGACTAGCAGGTTGAACAACGGATGTTTGATTGCCAAATAAACGGATCACCAGATGTAAAAATGGATCTTAATTATTAATTTGATACCAAACAGAAAACAATAAACTTGCGGAAAAGATGGTATATCGCAAACATGAGGTGGACAAATTTTGTATACCATATCCAGATTTCGACAAATAATGTCTCTTCAGTGATGTTAGGAATCAAAACGGTATTTCGAAGGCCATAAAATTTACCTCAATTTGGGATTGACTCTGGAATTTTGAAGAGTCGAAATAGGATGAACGGATCATATAAACCCGAAGGCAAATATGATACAAGCCCAAACGAAAAAATATAAACAAGTCTAAATTGAAAACAACGTTCAAACCTATGAATGCGTTGGATAAAAACCGCAATTTTTATACGTGTGCATGTAAAACAAATTTCTTGAAAGAGTGGTCTAAATACCGCACAAACAACATTTTCCAAAATATCAAAAAAGTGAAAAAATACATTTTAATAAAACGCATTTGACTAGCAGGTCGAAAAACGGATGTTTTTAACCCCTGCTGATTGCCATAGGGATTGCCAAATAAACGGATCACCAGATGTAAAAATGGATCTTAATTATTTATTTAATACCAAACAGAAAACAATAAACTTGCGGAAAAGATGGTATACCGCAAACATGAGGTGCCAAAATTTTGTACACCATATCCGGATTTCAACAACTAATGTCTCTTCAGTGATGTAAGGAATCGACACGGTATTTGGAAGGCCATAACATTTACCTCAATTTGGGATTGAGTCTTGAATATTGAAAAGTCGAAATAGGATGAACGGATCATATAAACCCGATGGCAAATATAATACAAGCCCAAACGAAGCGTTGGATAAAAAACGCAATTTTTATACGTGTGCATGCATGGTAGAGTGGTCTAAATACAGCACAAACAACATTTTCCAAAAGACCAAAATAGTGAAAAAAGTATATTTTAACAAAACGCATTTGACTAGCAGGTCGAACATCGGATGTTCTTAAACCCTGCTGACTGCCATTGGCGATTATCAAATAAACGGATCACCAGATGTAAAAATGGATCTTAATTAATAATTTAATACCAAACAGAAAACAATAAACTTGCAGAAAAGATGGTATACCGCAAACATGAGATGCAAACATTTTGAACACCATATCCGGATTTCGACAATTAATGTCTCTTCAGTGATATTAGGAATCAAAACGGTATTTGGAAGGTCATAACATTTATCTGAATTTGGGATTGACAATTGAATTTTGAAGAGTTGAAATAGGATGAACGGATCATATAAACCCGAAGGCAAATATAATACAAGCCCAAACGAAAAAATATAAACAAGTCTAAATTGAAAACAATGTTTAAACCTCTGATTGCGTTGGATAAAAACCAACATTTTATACGTGTGCATGCAAAACAAATTTCTTCGTAGAGTGTTCTAAATACAGCACAAACAACATTTTCCAAAAGACCAAAAAAGAGAAAAGGTATATTTTAGCAAAACGCATTTGACTAGCAGGTCGAACAACGGATGTTCTTAATCCCTGCTGACTGCCATGGCGATTGCCAAATAAACGGATCACCAGATGTAAAAATAGATCTTAATTATTAATTTAATACAATACAGAAAACAGTAAACTTGCGGAAAAGATGGTATACCGCAAACATGAGGTTCACAAATATATACATATATCTGACCTTTTTGTATTGACCTTCGAATACACATCATGCCTGGCAAATTTACTATGAGACAGCACAACAGTAATACAAAAACCCAACAGACAAGTACATGTTATTTTTGCAGGGTAGTATACCTTTAATTAATAACGAGATGTAAACAAAAATCTAACTTTTTAATACATCGAAACATTATATTTTCTTTATAATCATTTTTACACGTTTATGTTCCAAATTAATCAATATAACAATGAAAAAAATGTATAATGTAAATATTTTACAATATATTGTTTAATGAAAAAAAAATAATGTGGTTTTACAGCCGTTATACGGATGTTTGAAAAAATAGGTGTGTTAAACGAAAGAATACGAACGTCTGTAATACGGAGATCCGTTTTACGAACGTATTTTATAACGTCCATGATATGTGTATGAATTTACCTGGAACATTTAATTAGCTTTCTTCTGGAAAACTATTGTGGTTATGATATTTATTTCCTCATTAACTATTTAAAGGAAATAAATTCGCTATACTTTGTAATAAGTGGGGTTTGCGCGTTCGTGATGACATCATGTATAACTCAACTTTTTTACTCATAGTTGAAAAAGTCAGAAATCATCAAAAAAATCTAAGGTTTTGACTCCATAGGAAAAAGTTGACCTTAGATTGATTTTACTATTTTAGGTCCTTGCTGGTTAAGTCGCTCTCTCTGTGTTTATGTACTTATACATTCTTTATATTTTACTTTTTTGGTTTAGCGTTTCTGATGAACATTAATCCAGAAAAACGATTCATATGCAGCAAATTTAGAAAGAAATATTTTCATTATTGGTATAGTTTATCTTATTCTTTGTATGAAAAACTGTTTTTTTTTTTTCGTAAGCCTGTTGCCATATTTACATTAAGTCATATATTAGGTTATCAGACACCAGACATTCACCAATCAACAAGTCTATAATATCATATAGTTGTTATGAATATCTCATGTGAACTACACACCTAGATCTTATTTATATTCAAATCTGTATATTGTGTGAATTATGTTTGCATTGTGAGGATATTTAAGTAGTATCTTTTATTCTTATAAATTGTTAAAGGTTTACCAGCTGAAATCAGAGCTCTTGATAAAGACTCAGCAAAAGTGTTCACTCATTTACTAGAGGAAGAAAGTTACCCTCATTTTGAATCACGAGTAATGTTAGCGGGCGAGCCGGGAACTGGAAAAACAACAATAGCTCGATATCTGGTTGGCAAGGGACCAACGAGTGTGCGAAAATCCACTGACGGGATCGGTCTATATACAGGCTTGTCGTATATGGACAGAGAAACGGAGATATGGTTGAATGGCAAACAAGGTACATGATTATGATGATTACATATGTTGCAGTGTAATACAACTGCTTTTCTCTAAAACGAATATGTTTATATGCTATGAAATAAATGTTTAAATGATCCAAACCAGGCTGTACAATAACACATAGAGATGATACTGTATCTTTTCAAATTAAGTATATTTAAAACAATGTCACAAGAGATGTATTTGAGACAAAACTTCAAACTGCTGATTTGTAAGGTCGAACTATAAAGAGGATATCATATGCAATCAGAGCGATTTTTAGTTATCACAACACCCCTCTCAAAGCGTATGACTGTCCGTCTCACCGTACGTTCATCTGTCTGTAACATATTTTATGTCGTTTTTTTTTCTTAGCAACGAATCTAGATTTATCTGGCATTGCCGTGCTATATGACATATGTATTGTACCATCGATGTTAGCAGATAGCAATGTGTGAGCAATAACTCAATGTATCATGTTTGTATTATTGTATACAATATAAAAAAGTGATTCTTTTAAGATATTGAAAACAGCATCGCTTTATTATATCAATTATGCTGTAAGTATTCTATCACAGACATGGATCGCCTTCGCCAGAACTTCACAAGAACTGTCCATACTGTTATGCTGACGTAAAACAATTATTAATGCTGTTATTCTCTGAAAATAGTCTATTCAATCAATGTTAAAATATTTAAGACACTTATGATATGTTTACCCCGAATAATACATGTTCATGATAAAAATTGGTACTACTACTTTAAAATTAATTATTCAATTTGAAAACAAAAGTACATGAAATCGATTGTGGAAACAACTGAAAACGTCGATAGAAAAATTCAAAAAATAAAAAACTGCCGAAATACAGAATGTGTCTGAATGTGTCTGAATGAATCATTGGTAGTTCAACGAATGTTTATTGACTACTGTCTTCTCAAAATTCAAATAAAGAGAAACATACGAAGTCACGTTCACAACAGTATATTATAAATAGCAATATACTAAAAAGGAGGTGATGTTATATTGAGGTTAATTCTGCACCTTTATTGAAAAGCAAAATAAATGTAACACATGGATTTTAATTTATTTAAAATAAATATCCTATTTATCGTTAAGCTGTATCCATTTGTCGATTACATAGGATCTATTTGACAGGTACAAACTCATAATAGATTACAGGCCTATCATTTCTTTTTTACGCCAGGCGCGCGTTCCTTTTACATAAGACTCATCAGTGGTATTCAAATCAACACAGTTGGGTAGCCAAATCAAAAACTAAGTTGGGGAATATTGCAAACCCAACATTTCCAAACGTTGTGCCAATTACGAATAACACTATATTGAAGTTTTTTTTCCCCAGATTTCTCTTTAGCAGACTTAACCATCAGCAGGTCGTTAAGACAGAAACCACTTGGTCTTCCAATTAGCAGTCATTCAACTGAATTGTACACTGATTTAACCAAAAAGCATGATAAGAGTCCGACATCAAGTGCCTCTGTTCGATTTAACGAACAACAAGTAGTCGATAAGGATAGATATAAAATGCCACGTGTTCCAACCGAAAAGTATGCAAGCAGATTAAGAGAACAAGGAAATGTCAATAAACCAACGAAACGTATCCCAGACGACAAAGCAATCACAAATGTTTCTCTTGATTTGTATAAACACCAAGGTGATCCAAATGAAAACGAAATACCAGTGCAAAAACAACACGGCCACCCTCAAGACGAAACACAATTACCGAATATCCCTCTTGATTTAGATAAAACAATATATGATTCCAAAGACAAAAAACAAGTGCCTAAAGCTTATTTTGATCGAGACAAACAACAAGATGATCATGAAATGCTAGTTCTTAATGTGCCACTGGATCTAAATAAACAACAAGATCATCGGCAGGACAAAGGACCTGTGCCAAAAGTCCTTCTTGATGCAGATACACAACATGGTCATTATTTAGACGAAATACCAATACCAAATGTCCTATTTGATTCAGATACACCACCGAGGGTCTCAAAGGACAAAGATAAATTTCAAAATCAACCGTTATGTTTACATGAACAAGAAGAATATAATAAAGATGACAGACCAATGCCAAATTTCATTTTTACTGAAGAAAAGCAAAACGAAATGTTGCAATACGACATACTGATAAATATTTTGTCTGATATAGATAGTCAACACAGAGATCTTCACAACAACAAGGCAATGGCAAGTAATCTAGAATGTTCAGATGATCAATTGAATTATTCCCACGAAGACACCCGATTGGAAGACGTCATGGATGCTATACCGATGACGGTTCACCAAACTAAGGTAAATGCTGCAACAGAAGATGAATCAAAAGAAAATAAGCCAAATCATGGATCGCCATTGGTTTCTGGTGGTAAAAAGCAAAGCAGTTTTTCTATGAACGATTCACTCGTTCAAGAACAAACGGAATCATTGTCAAAGTCATCTGTAACAGAGCAAGCAACAACTGGGTTGACACATTCTGTAGAATCTGTTACTAACCCTAGATTTATTACAAAACTTAAAAGATTCTTCGGAGTTTCAAAAGAAGTGAAAGAAATAAAGGTATCAGTTACACAAGAACACATCTTGAAGCAGTCTCTAAGGGTAGGAAAGAAAAAATTGCACCAAAGACATGTAGCTCCGGTAATAATATGGGACTTTGGGGGTCAAGATATATTTTACTCCACGCACCAAAGTTTCCTGTCCTATAGAGCTATATATTTGATTGTACTGGATGGAAGTAGGACCCTTGATGACCTTTGTCAATTTGATGAATATCTGCCTGGAAGAAGTGGACGGAAAACAGCGAGAGGTAAACAGTTTGTACAAATAACCAGAAGAGAAATATATTTTTTTTCCTAAAGATTAAACACTGCAAAGTATGTATCTATACGTAATGCACATTCAAAAGTATACTACAACATGTACAACATATAAAAATATTTTTTTTAATTTCAAACGAACGAATAATTATGCGACCCTAAGTAGTTTTTCAAATATGTTATCAACCAAACAAAGGATTTTTTTTTTTTCTTCAATTCAGACTAATTATGAGAGTTTCTTGGGGCAGCTTTCAATATATGCAGCATGATCTCTTTGATTGAAAAATAACACCATGTCAAGGGAAAAACAATAAATTCGCTCAAGTATTAACTGATTCACCAGTATATTAGAAGACATTTGTAGGAGTTTTTTCACTGTACATATGAACAACCTCATCCGAAACTACCCTTTTCAAAATAAAGATAAAAAGAATTTCCGTCTGACTCTTGATCAACAGCCAACTTATACAGTTAGTAGGAATACAGGGAGATGTATGAATGTATCATTAACACAGAAGTCCAACAACTCTATCAATAGAAAGACATGTAATACGTCAACACTCTCTCTGCTACAGAAAATTGACAGCTGTCAATGCCTTATAACATCAGAAGCTGTTGTTAGATCGCCATTGAGACCACTTTTTAATAGAAACCATCATCTAGCCTTTTACAGCCGACTATCCATTATTGGTTTTGTTTATTATTGAAGACTGTATGGTTGCCTTTAATTTGTTACTTCCAAATCATTTGGAAATAGTTGTCTCATTGGCATTCATACTGTACCACATCGACCTTTTTGTACATGTATACCATTATTTGAAAGTTTATGTATAAATATAAGTTTCTTTAAAATGAGAAAGCATAAGTATCATAACATTTTAAAATTTGTATGCACAGTCCAATTTTGCACATTTAAAAGAAGTTTAGCCGTTAACGATAGATTGATCTTAACATCATCTGAACAGTATGAAGTGAAGATTAATAACAAAACTGATCAAGTCTGAATATAGACTGAATAGATCTTAACTGACTACAAGTGATATGTCTGTTTATTGATGAATGTATTGTAGTGTATACGTTTGTACACAACTTTCAGTTCAACATTTAACTGGCTGAAAGTGTACATTTACATAATGTTGCAAACCCCAGCCATATTAGTTTTTTTTAGTGACCTTTGACATATCTTTGATGAGCTAATAGAATTGTTTATTACCAACCATGTGACGATAAGAATGAAGGAAATGTATATAAGAAAGACTATGGCATTCATGTCATTAAACGTTTTGTTCCCTTCGAGTATTGTTTGCACATTTAATTGCTTCTTTTTCTAATTGTCATTTAATGTTGTCATGTTGTTGTATCTTGATACTCAACTAATGGGTTTTACATTGGAAGTGACAGTTGAAGCTGAAAATTTATAATTTCAATGAACACATGTATTATTTATTATGATTATTGCCAAATTGTTTTATTTCGAGCTGATAAATACAAACAAAAATGCAATTTTCCCTAAAGAATGAAAATACCTATCTTTCATAATTATTTTAAATGTCCTTGTTTACAGATTACCTGCGATTCTGGATAAATACAATTGTGACATACTGCAAGGACAGCAAGCATGGATTTCCCAAGATTATGATCGTTTTTACTCATAAAGACAAGATTAAACATGTAAGTATACACAACTTCAGTTTATGCAATGAAAGTGAATGCGGTTTTTATCTCACTGATTTGATTCATTTTCCTTGTTTGGTTAATCATATTTAGCGTCATTGTCTTTTAATTTAATTTATTGATAGATAGAGATGTGTTTATTATGTGAATAAAGGTGATGCTGCTCTTTTATTGATATTTAAATATATGCACGTTTTATACCTTTTACTGACAGAAACGTAAGAATTTAAGAAACAAATGATTGATTTTAAATTCCTAATGTTACGTTTAGTTTTAATTTCAGACGGAAATGATTAGTAAACAATGTATCATTCTTTAAGGGTGAAGTTGAAACAACGAGAAGACAACTATTCGAAGATGTAAAGAGCATGTTTCAGGGATCCCCTCTGATGTCACATTTGGTTATTGAAGACAGAATCTTCGTAAATGCTAAAAACAAAAATGACCCAGAAATGGCAAAGATCAAAACAAGTATTATACGAGAGTCCAAGCTCCAACCAACATGGGGGCAGAACTTACCAAAATGCTTTATCCCTCTAGAATTAGAATTCGAAAATCTTATCCGAAAGGATATAAATGTAATAACATTTGACGATTTGAGAAAGATTAACACTCAGCATCCTATAAGACCATTGACAGATGCTGAACTCAAGGTTTTCCTGAAATTCCAGCATGCTATTGGCAAAATTCTATACTTTGATGAACCTGGGTTGGATCAACATGTTACACTTTTGCCAACGTATCTCATTGATGCTTTTAAATCAATAATCACCGATAAAAGTTTCTGTAAAGGCGAAAAATTAAGAGAGGATTTGTGGAATCTGATGAGCCAGAAAGGAGTCATCTCCAAATTTGCAATAGAAGAACTTTGGAGAAAAAGGAAATATCGCATGTTTGAAAAACGCAAGGACTACTTATTAGCAGTGATGACTCACTTTGATATACTAGTCGAACCAAAAAGATATGATCCTAATCACAATCGAATACCGGCTGATTTTTACTATGTAGCAAGCATGGTCCAGGCTAAAGATGATACTGGGTACCTTCAGTCTCCATCCTTCAGTGAAAGAAACATTGCAATATCATTCAATTCAAATACTGCAATAATACCTCCGGCTTTATCATTCAGGTTTATCACTTACTGCCTCAGTATTTTTGATGTGAAGAAATACGGCGAGACAAACGATGACATGCTTTTCCATAGATCTGCAGTATTTACGATTGATCCGTCATTAGATATCCATATTCTATGCGAGGATGAAAGGATTTTTGTCCGTCTTGTTCATGCTAGAAAGAAAATTCTTATAATGAAAGACCTGGTTTCAAGTATCTGTGAATGTTTGAAATCTGCCATTCAGAACATCAGCCATCTTTATATTCAAACCAGCAGTGAGAAGTGTGATGTTAACGCAAGGTCTTTTCAACTGAACATTTGCTGCAGTGCTGTTGAAGATCCATGTGTGCTATCCATTGAGGAATTAAACAACATCGATGAGAGTTGGATATGTCCAAAACATGAAATAGAACACGAACAGTTTGTGCTGTCTCGTTGGATAACAGAAAAGGTAATTAAATATTTCTATTAACTACTCTTAGTGCATTCTATATCTGTTACATAAATGATGAATAAGGAAAATCTAAACTATTTATTTTGTACTAAAGCCAAGTGGTTTGTTTAAGGCGTTCTTGATACACATAATACATGTTATACTGAAGATTAAGCTACACGTAATGAATATAATCCTGACGATTTATCTCATATACTACATGTTATACTGAAGATTCAGTTACACATAACAAATGTTATACTGAAAATTAAGCTACATATAATACATGTAATGCTGCAGATAGTTATTTGTATCATACCATATGACGAATCAACTATTTATCTATTTTAAGCTAACATTCCATTTGTAATTGAAAATTATGCTTTAAGGAATTTGAATACAAATAAGCTTACTACTTCAATGTAGTACAGAACTTAAAATGGGGATATTTTATTACTTTAAATATTGTTTCTTATTTGGAAATAAAAGGTCTTAAATTATAGATGATTAAGTACAGTCATGTGTTTCGAAAGCTGGATGTACAGTAAAATTTGGTAGGAGATCTGGTTGATCATAATGCAGCAAGAGACAATATATAGAAATAAGGCATTTCATAAACTCTTTTTAAAATGAATATTTTATCTGTACTATAAAGTGATGAATACATATATATTTTCATTTAAACTATGTTGTATTTCATCAAACTATTTTACTAAAGTTATCGAATTGTATCGAAAAATAATCGATGATTATATCATATGTTTGGCTGTAATGGATTGAATTAAGATTATATTTAATCAAACATGTCTTTGATTACAGATTACTGTCAATCACTGGACAAAAAATAATCAATTACTATCGGTTACGATTACAGATTACGATTACTCCATACCTGGTTTTTAAAACTTTTGCTACAACTGTTGGTTGGAAATGTACGCATTATTTAGTCAATCTTTTAAAATACACCAATTTTATGAACAGAGAGCGCAACATTTCGATAATATTTGCAAACAGTTTTAATTATATATGGTCTTAATGAACGTGTCGCCTTTTTTAAGATTTGTTTTCACTTTTCTTTATCAATTTAACAAATTGCACAATTTCAATGATTTCTCCTTGTATTTTAGGAGTCAGAAATACAGTGTGCATTAAACTGTCCAGGTAGGTAACTATTCAGCCATAGTTTGAAGTGCAGGCAGACTATCCTACCTATTTTTACAGCTGGTATTGCAAAAATCCAGCTTTTATTCATCACCGACAATATAACAGTTTTCTAATGTATTTTCTAGAAATAATTTTACGTAAACTTGCTCACACATAAATCATATTTGCAAAGGAGAAGGTTCGATCATGCAAATGTTGTCCCTTTGAAATCGACAAAATCAAAAAATCATTCTTCATGTGTTCATAAAAGTAGAAAACTGACAAAATAGCCTCATCTTACCATTTAAATTAATCTCTACCTGAACAAATTGTTTATATTTAGAATGTATTAATTGTGAACTTTC